AATACTTTCTTTTTGACTCTATCCCTAGGCTGTTTACTGGACCTCTTTTCTTTTTTTTCCACTTTACGTTTCTTAACTCTTTGCTTTTCCTTATTGACTTTTACATTCGCAGTAGATTTCTTTTTATTATTCTTTAGCTTAGCTTCTTCTTCTAAAGCACTCTTTTCTGGAGTGTCGGTTAAGATTGCGCACTTTCGCTTGCGACCTCGATTAGACTTAGAGCGAGGGGCCGCTTTTGGCAATGGCCGTACAGCTTCGGGACTAAAGAATGTTGATGAATCTCTTGGACGAGACGTCACTGCTGGTTCATTTTCTGCAGTTGATGTACCAGGAACTGGACTCCTTGACATTTTCTCAATAACTGCACCCACGCTGATATCAAGATTAGGCATGCTTCTTTCGATTTCAGGTAACAAGGACGCTTCCAGACCTAATGTGAGGCTAAGATTCTCTGGTGTTAATTCGTTTTGTTCCTCAGTTTGCAGCAATGTAGGCGATGAGTTACCTAAAATATCTTCCTCATTTTGCTGAATCGGGGGAATCGTGACAATAGACTCAACGGGCGCTGCATTAGTGTTGTCATTCGGCTGGGATACAGGCATTGGCCGATCTGTTACGAAAGACGGAGCAAAGTCGTCATCGCCAAAAACAAACTCATTGCATGGCCAGATACCAGCTTTTCTAAACGAGTGAGCAATGTTGTTCGGGGTGAAAGCCAACGGAAATGCTTCTCTTACAATTCCAGGTAGGTCATAAATGGTCATCGTCTTTCCAGGATTATTAATCATCCAATTAGTTTGTAGTCTGGCAACGTAATTCTTCAGGGGTCCATAAACTCCGACATCTAATGGCTGCAGCTTGTGCGAACAGTGTGGAGGAAATGAAAGTAGGATCACATAATTTTCCTTCGCTTTATTTATCACCGCCACATTTACATGTGAGTGATGATTGTCCAAAAAAAGTAGTACCGGATCATCTTTAGTGGGTTTCACGTGTTTTATGAAATGATCCATAAATATCAAAAATTCTCTCTCAGACATCCAGCCTGAACTGTTACCGGCGCCAATAGCTTCAGGCGGGCCATTTTTAATGAAAATGTCATTATATCGGATTCGTGGAAACACAAACATGCAAGGAATGTGGTTACCTAATGCATTT